TCGGGCTGGCGCGGGGGGCCAGGGCGCCCCGCTAGCGACCCAGGAGCGGAGGTTTTATTTTAGAAACATAATCAAGACTGCGTGTTACAGAAACATGAAAATGAAGTTTTTGGCACAGAACCGTCAGATAAAATATACAGCGCTACAACTGTGCGAGCGAGCGCAGAAGCCAAATATTGAACGTTAGCTTTAATGAAACAGCGCACAATATTTTGAAGAACGATCATCTGCGGAAGACCTTGCTGGTAAGCAGACACCCCGGCCCAGGCGCCTCCTGAGGGCGGGGCTGCGGAGGGGCGGCCTCGGGGGCGGGGACCCCAAACAGACGCTGGGCAAGTCAGAGGCTGCCTTGGGGTCCAACAGGAGCTCTCAGCGAGCCCTCAGCCAGTCTGTCCCCAGGGGTGCTGGGAGTCCTGGGCAGGACCGGGGGCAGGTTCTGGGGACACCCAGCAGGCTGGAAACCCAGCCGCTCTGCCTCATCACGTGCCAGGGCCGTCTCCGGAGGGACCCTCGCTGCGGGGTGCCGGCACTGCTGCAGGGGCGGGGCGGGGGGCTCAAGGGGGCCAGGGCGGCCGGGAAGCGGGGCCTCCCGGGGCCTCCTCTGGCTGCCCAAAGACCCGGGTGAAGGGGCGTGGGCTGGGCCGAGGCCTGAACCTGGTTCTCCGGCCGGCGACTGTCTGTGCAGCACTGAAAAGAACAGCGCGAGCTGACCCAGGCTGCGGGTCAGGAGCTGAGCCGTGTCCGGCGGGCGGGCGGGGCCCTGCTCCACGACTGGGCCCCGGGCAGCGCCACCAGCGCCCGCTGGAACCTGCCTCGTTGCTCTGTGCCAGAGGCCCAACGCCTCGCCACCCACGGGGGCCACAGTGCCCACGGGCATGAACTCAGCGCCGAGCCAGCCCGACGCTGCAGCCCACCCTGCCCCGCCCCCCTCTTGCTGAGTCTCCCAGCTCAGCCAGGCACCCCTGTGCCTCCCCTGCGGTGCTACGGGCAGCAGCCAGTGACAGAGCCGCCTCTTCCAGGAAAGCCCCGCCTCTGGCTGGCGCCACCCTGGCCCCAGGGTGCCCACCATGCGACTCTGGGCGCCAGACTCCCGCGGCCTGGGAGGCCCAGCCCGGCGGAGCAGCTTCCGGGGCGCCCACCAGCCTCGGGCCCCTTGGGTTTCCCCAGAAGTGTCTGTGAGGGGCAGGTGGGGGAACCCTTGCGCTGGGCTCTCTGCTCTGGCTCCAGCAGCACCGGGGTGGGGGTGGGGCAGCTGGCTGCCCAGACCCAGCCCTGGACCCAGCCCTGGACGCTGCTCAGACGGGACAAGTCCTTCCTGAGGTCCAGAGCCACGGCGGGCAGGGCCGGCTTGTCCTCCAGGGGCCTCCGGCACGGCCCCTACCTCCGCTGGCCCAGCCTGGGCGTTCTGCTCTTCCCCTGGGCCCAGCCTCCTGTGGCCGCGGAGACCAGCGCCGCACCACCGGGCCGCCCGGCGCCAGCAGGTCTGTTCGGGGAGCCACGGCCCAGCACCCTGGGCTTGGGATTCACGCGAGGTGTGGGGTGGCCGACGCCTGGGCCCGCTCCGCTAGCGAGAGAGTCGTGCCCTGGCCAGAACACGGCATCTCAGGGCCGCCGACCCCGTGGACAGCAGCCGTCCCTGGCCAGGGATAGCAGTGGCCCGGCGACCGTCCCCAGACGCGCGAGGCCCCCTCTTCTCCACAGGGCAGTGTGCAAACGATGCGGCCTCACTGCCCACACGGGGACACAGCGCCGGCCTTCCCGCGGTGCTCCCAGCTGCCCCGTCCCCAGGAGGTGCTCGGCGCCGGCCAGGGCCTCCAGCAGGTGGCCGGCTGAGCTGACACTCGCAGACGCCCCTGGGCAGCTTCCGCCATCTGTTTCTCGAGCGCCTGTCTGGTCTCTCCGTGTGTCCAGTAACACAAACTTCGCCGCTGCCCATGGCAGCTGCTCGGGCCGGCTGGGGTCACTCCACAGCCTGACGGGGGGCCTGACGGAGCGCAAGGGGCTGGGCACTCATCCTCACCTGTCCAGCCCGGGGCTGCCCTGAGAGGAGGAGCAGAGCCCTCTGCTGTGGGTGGGCCGGCCACACCCCGAACCTGTCTTTCGGGGTGAGGGTGACTGTGCAGTGGAGGGTGTGGCAAGTGCACCGCCCCTGTGGGGCCTTCCAGTGCGTCCCGCGGCTGTCGCTCGACCTTGAGGCCTCCTGGCCACCGACTCTGGGCAGTCTGGGCGCCCCAGTCGTCGTTCACGGCAGGTGTCCCACCGGGCCTGACCGGTGCACGGGGGACTCGGTGACCTCGGGCGGGGGCTGCTCCAACAGCACATTCAGCGTCGCCCTGGGACGTCTCCCCGCGGAGGGGCGTCCAGGAGCTACTGTCGGCCACGGGGGCTGGAACTGGGGTGTCTCCGGACCCCTGCAGGAGAGTAAAGGAACAAGCCCTCCGAGCCCCACAGGCGCAGCAGGCAGTTATGTCACAAGCAGGAAAAAGGTCTCAGTCCCCACCCCCACGTGGGAGAGTCGAGACGAACCCCCCGACCGAGGGCACAGTCGGGGGACGCACGGCCCGGCGAGGAGCGGCCCCGGCGTCCTGCGCAGCCGCCTCGCTCCCTGAGACTGACCAGTTTAATCAGGGCGTCTCGGGGGCTCCCAGGTGGACGCGGTGGTCCCCCCCCCGGGGAAGGAAGCGGCGGCCACGGCCAGGTCAGACGCACAGCGGCTGGGGCGAGGCGCCGGCGCGGCGCGCAGGCCCGAGTCTGGGGCCCGTCGAGGTCAGAGGTCTCCGCTCTGGGGCTCCACGTTGCGCGTCTCCCTGGGGTGGCCTCGCGAAAGCTTGGAGAAGCGGGAGGCCACTTTGGGCCGGCTGCTCTTGTTTGCCGGCTCTCCAGGAGGGGTGACGTCGCTGAAAGACAGAGCAGGGAGACTCCGGTTAGTGGGGGCTCTCAGTGGGGGTGCCTCCGGCCGGACAGTGAGCCGGGGGGCCGGCAGCCGAGCCCAGCTGATGCTGGCCGTGTGGAGAAGCCCCCGGGGCCAGGCCGGTGCTCGTACGCAGGAGCGCCCACACAGCTGTGCTCCCAGCTAGTTTGTGGGGGCCCGTTTGGGGGGCCCTGGTGCAGCCCCTGGTCCAAAGTGCCAGGTTCCCACTAGCAGCTGTTGGCAGGGATGGAGAACTGGAACCCTGGCTGGGGCCTGAGAAGCCACGAGGGCAGCGAGGTGGCGTCCGGGAGGTGGACACGGAGCGGAGGAGCCACTGGGCACATACAAGCCACAGGCCCAGCGGCTGCCTAGCGGCCACTCTGGCTAATACAGATGTCCAGGGCTGCGGGACCAGAGGCAAAGCAGGCCTGGGCCTCCCCTCTCTGGATTGTGCCGGGCGAGCCAGGGCCACCGGGCAGCACGGCTCCGAAGTGAGCAGCCCGCGGGCAGCGTGCGGGTTTGACGCCCGGCTTTAAAGGGGTGCCACCCCATTCCTCGCTGAAGCAGGCTGGCAGTCAGGTGCAGTCGGGACCTCTGGGGAAAGGACTTTCAGCCGTCCTAGGAGGGGGTGCGGGGCCCTCGGTCAGTGAAGGGTCTCGGTGCGAGGGCCGCAGGGGCGGCCACAGCTCTGGCCCTGCCCACGGGCCAGGGCACACGCCGGAGGCCTCGCTGCCCCTCACACCACTGAGGACGCAGCCGCACTGAAGCCTAACCGGTGATTCCGAGCATCCCTGACAGGTTTCCTCCTGGAGAGTCGGCTATGAATATGCCAGTCAGGGGAAGCGCCGTCTTCCCTGTCTCCGCTCTTCAGCCTCCACACGCTTTGGGGATTAGACGGCTTCGTTTGTTGACTGGGAAGCAGGCGCACATGGGGCGGGGTGGGGGAGCAGACAGGGGAGCCCCCCGGGGCTCGAGGCACGCACAGGGGAGCAGGCACAGGCTGCGCCCCGCGGGGGCCGGCCCCGTCTCCACCCACAGAAGCAGGCTGTGGCCACAGGCCCCGTTTGGCTCCGGACGTCGCACAGCCTCACCCCAGAAGAGGGGCCGCAGCTGCCCCGGAGGACGGGCGGAACAGGGCAGCAGGGCCCCGGGTCCAGCCGAGCCGCTCGCCGGCAGCCACGGCCACTCTCGCTGCCCAGGCGCGCGACACCCTCGCCCTTCCTCCCCACCGCCAGGCCCCCGACCCCACAAGACGGCTTGCAGCCCGCCTTGCCGTTTAGACAGACCCATTCTAACCTCACTTTCTGTGTTTTGAAAGCAGCCCTAAGAGTTTACATTTAAAAAGTCCTTTAGCGGACTATACACGCATACAAGGGAGCTGCTCAACTGTCTGCAATTTTCTCGTGGTGTTTTCTTACTTTTCCAGTCAAAACAGCAGCTTTAATCGCAGCGGGTCTGCATGGATCACAGTAAAGATTTTCCTCCCTTTGTTCTTTCTAATTGTTTATAATGATCCGAGGATCCATCTAGTAGCTATCTCCTACTCGTGTTATCTTCTGGGGCTGAACAAAGGAGAAAGAAAAGTGATTTTCTGCAGTAGCACAGGGTGCCTACTGTGTGCCTGACCTACTAAGCGCCGGCTACACGCAGGCCTGGCCCTCCCGCTGCTTTGCCAACAAGGAAGTGGGGGGCCAGAGAGCCCCCCAGGTCTTCAGCGAGGCGGCTTTACACCGGCTGAACTGCAGGCCTCCCCAGAGCCAGGCGGAGGCAAACACCCAGCTCCCACTCCGCCAGGGGCGAGGAGCTGGGGACTGCGGGGGTCCCCCAAGGAAGTGTCATCTCCTGGCTCAGCGGGCGTGGCAAGCTGGGCCACAGGCGTCACAAGCCTCTCACACAGAAGCCTGCCACAGCAGCTGTGCCCACAGAATGGACACATGCTTGTCCACCAGCCTGCTCTTCTCCCGGGGAACCGCCGCCTCCTTCCATGCGGTCATGTTCAGGTCCTGGGTTGAGGGGGCAGAACGTCCCTCCCCTGGCCACAGTCACTGTGTCAGAGGTGAGACAGCGACCCAAAGCTCGGTCAATCAGCGTCTGCCCTGAACTTGCTACTGGGAAAGATGATGAGTAAGACTCTAGGCCTTTGGCCGGAGTCAGTGGGAAGGACTCAGGTTCTCCAGGCCCTGCAAGGTCACGGGGTCATCTTTCCCGCCAGGGAACGTGCTCGGCAGTGAGGGCGGCACAGAGCCCTGCCGACGTCACTTGCCTCCCCAGATCAAGCCCCCTGCAGCTCGCACTGTCTGAGTGTTATCGTGACGCCAGCCTGCAGCACTTCCTTCCAGCTTACGCCAACAAGGCCCAGGGTTCTGTGATGTTGCAGACAGAGTCCCTCCAACACGCAGCAGGCTTCTGGAGCCCGGTGTCAGGCACTGAGTACTGCCACCTCGCCAGTCTGCTCTCACGCGGCGCTAGTCCCATGCTGACCTGCGGGCTTTGGAGTCAGACACCTGGATCGAGACCTACCTGCGCCCCAGGGCCATGCTCCAAGGGCCTCACACAGCGCAGACTTCATGTCACGTATTTGCTGCTGTGGAAACCCAACACGCTTCGCTACCGAGACACCGAACATCCAGGTGGGCAGAGTTGGCAAAGAATGTCGCCCAGAGTAGAAAGGCCAGGAAAGGCCCTCAGGCTCACACGGGGCACCCCGGTCCTCGGCCAGGGCTGCGGCCCCCCAAGAAGCGTCGAAACCGCTGAAGGACGACTCACCGCGCTTCCAGAAACGATTCCCGGGCGGCCGGGCACAACACGCGTGACCTCACGGGTACGCATTTCTCGGGCAAGCACGACCCCATCGGCAGCAGCACCCCGGACACACGACACCACGAGGCCTCAGCTAAAGGCACCAGGCATGAACAGGCAACCGGCGCAGACAGAGCACAGGGCCTGTGGAGATGGACTCGGGCTGGTGGGGACTCTGTGGGGACCACACCGAGGGTGCCCTGTGCACAAACACGCGCACTGGTGTAAAATGTGTGTGAGTCACGTTTGTAAGTAAGCAAGTGAAGGCACAATGACCCCCCCCAACCCCCACCCCCCCACCCCCGCCCGAGAAGAGTTTGCTAGGGGCTCCTGGAAACGGAGGCCCAGCCTCCACCCTCTGCCCGGAGGTTCAGCCTCAAAAGCCCTGCCATACGGGGCTCAGGCCCTCCTCCTGGCCCCACTTTTCTCTGGCTACTAGGAGAGCACCCCGCTTGTGACCCCACCGCCCTGCTCCCCCTCCAGCAGCCAGCGTGATCTTACCCCCAAGCCTGCGGGGCTCCCCGCCCTGCCCAGGCCCCGCCTGCTTCCCCAGGGACCCTGACTGCGAGGCGGCACCCGCCCTCGACCCCACGGGCGACCGGGGCTCCCTGACTGGAGATGTTCTGCACCTTGGGAATGACCATCTCTCTCCCTCGAGCGCTGACCAAATCCAGCCATCAGGATGGCACAAGGCAATGGGGTTTAGTGTGCTGGCCAAAATGTTAAGACGCGCACGCCTTCCGATTCCCTAAAATCAGTTCTGCCCGCCAAGATGTTCATCTGTTGAGCTGACCCTGGTAGCACTGTGTGAGGGAGAAAAATCTGGAAACCTCCTAAATATTCAAGGGGAGCAATGGTGAAATAAATTATGAAACAGCCATTGCGGTGGGAACGCGGCAGCTTCCAGGAGCACTGAGCCAGTTCTGTAACATCGAGAAGGCAAGCTGGAGAGCCGGCGGGCAGGGGCCCGGCTTACATAAAGCCGGCAGTTTCTGCAAAGTTACGTAAGAAATGACAGCGATCAGCGTGGGGGCCCCAGGAGCAGCAGTGACGGTGGCTCCGTGCGTCTTTCTGTAGTGCTTCGGGTTTTCTTTTAACACCGTAAGTTTATCACTTCCTCCAAAACGTCTGCTCCCCCAACTCGCCCCAACCCCTTCTCTGCCGGTAAAAATAGCCGCCTGTGGGGCCCTCCCTGGTGGCGCAGCGGGTTAAAGCACTGCACTAAGAAGCTAAAGCCACTTCCGCATGAGTTCGATCCCCGCCTGCCCTGGAGGAGACCACATGGCGCGGCAGACCTCTCCTGACCCGCCCACTGCTCCCCTCAGCAGTGTGCTTCGTGGATCTGCCTGTTCTGCTCCCCGCTCTGTCTCGGGTGAAGCCTCTCACCGCCCCTGAGCCTCTGGCCTGTACCCCAGTTCTGTATGCACAAATAAATCTTTAAAAAAAATTTAAAAAAAAATTAAAAAAAAAAAATAGCCGCCTGTGCAACGTGCCCAGCACTGGCCCTACAGCTGAGGCCCGAGCCGCTCCCGGCCCCTCCCTTGGCCACCGCTCGGACGCCAGGACGCCAGGGCAGCGCACCTCGGTGCCCGGCCGGGGCCACACAGCTCCAGGGCTGCGTTGCCGGACACTCACGGATGCTGTGGCGAGAGCCAGGCGCTCTGGGGCCGACGCCACCGTCAGCCGTCTGCCCGCCCCCAACCTCCGCAGGCAGCGGCCGGCACACGCACGCAGCCTCCCGGCGCCACACCCCGTCCTCCCCTCCCGCTCTGCCATCCTCACGCCCGCCTGGGGCTCAGCTGCTGTCCACACCCTGCGGCCCCCAGCTCGCCCCGCCTGGACGCCAGCAGAGACCCCCGCTCTCCCCGGGTGAGGTCTTAAAAACCAAGCCAGGCCACGTTCCCCTCGCCCCAAAGCCTTCGGCGGCTTCCCGAACCCCAAGGTCAGCGTGGGCCCACCCCGCCCGCCCTGGTGCCCCTCTGCGCTCCTCCGCAGCCCCCCTGGTTCTGACACGCAGGCCGCATCCGGCCCACCGGCGTGCCCCTGCCTCGGGGCCTCTGCGCTTAGCTTCCTGTCGTTCCGGTTCCCTCCCGCCCCCCGCGGGGCCCTCAGAGAGGCCTTCCTGGCCGTGACAGCTGGGCACTCTCTCACGGACGCTGCATCTGTTCATCTTCCTCAAAGGCCTCG